AAACAAGAATAGACTCACTGCCTACCCAAAAGTATGTCGTAAGAGTTGACCAACTGGGAGCTTCCTTCGAAGTCAGAGTGCATCTGCCTGAGAGGCAAGGAACCAGCAGTCTGCATACAAATGAGTCAGATCTGTAAAACAGGTTCTGGTACAGGACTGCAGTCCAAAAGTGGATGAACAACCAGAACTTTCTGCCAGAGTTCACAGCTGGTGAATATGAAGACCAAGAAGAAGGTGGAGATTGAACTGGGATTACTAACTTGGCAGGCAAATAGACCAAATGCTTAATCACTGCAGCTTCACCCCATATCAGCATCCATCAGAAGGTCCTTGACAGAACGTTGCTCTCATCACAGCACTCCTGCAAGTCTATAGCCAACTCTCCAGCCCTGTGATCTTTCATAGCCTATGCCTCTTTAATGACTTATATCAAAGTCCAAAAAGGTCGGCCTCTGCCTGATTCTCCAAAAGAAACTGCAAGATTTCGACAAGATAACTGATTTCCTACACAAGAAGGAGGTCATCTATAGAAGTAATCAACTCGACAAGATAACTGATTTCCTACTCCAGAAGGAGGTCATCTATAGAAGTAATCAACTCGACAAGATAACTGATTTCCTATACCAGAAGGAGGTCATCTATAGAAGTAATCAACTCGACAAGATAACTGATTTCCTATACCAGAAGGAGGTCATCTATAGAAGTAATCAACTCGACAAGATAACTGATTTCCTACACCAGAAGGAGGTCATCTATAGAAGTAATCAACTCGACAAGATAACTGATTTCCTACACCAGAAATAGGTCATCTATAGAAGTAATCAACTCGACAAGATAACTGATTTCCTACCCCAGAAGGAGGTCATCTATAGAAGTAATCAACTCGACAAGATAACTGATTTACTACACCAGAAGGAGGTCATCTACATTCTTTAACGACATTGTGAGAAGGGAGCCGGCATGCATCATGAGAACAGTGTAGTTAGAGGGGAAGAAAGATAAATGAAGATGAAGGGAGAAGATGCTGGACAGTTCAGCATCATGACATGGAGAATTGTCTGTGTCATAAATGACAAAGCACATACAACAAAAGACAAAATACTACGAAAAGATGACTGCCAACTCCATACAGTATGCACAATGAGAAGAAAATATAAATTATTATATAAAAATATTCCTTTAATGGAAATTAGACCCAATAGATATACTGCAAACATATGAAAGGTATATAAGCAGGTGTGGCAGAATAAAACAAAGCAACTATTAGTAAACAAACATGCACATGGATTGACATGGATTTAACACGCAAAGGAAGGTCAAAAGAGAAGATACTGGACAGTTTGGCATTATGACAAGGAGGATCATCTGTCACAAATGACTGAAATTAAACGAGACAAAAGGCTATAGAAAGGCATGACTATCAATGACAAAATGTGACTACCAAAGGAAAAAAAAAAAGATTATTTAAAAAGATTCCTTTATTGGTGTGTATAGAATCATTTTTTTTTTTTTAAAGTTGCAGTGAAAGAGAATGTTATACAATAACATGTTACACATTCTTGTTTGTTAATATACTCTACATTGTATGACAGACTATCGAGGAATGCGGCAGAAACAATAAATTAATGCTCAGGCCAAATGAGAGAGTTGATTACCTTTTGTCTGCTCTACCAGATTCAGACCTGTAATTTGCAATTGAACAACAGGTCACAACGTTTTCTTATCTTCTTTCTTTAGTTCTCATCAAATATTTGGGTGGGGATATAATAAAGTGTTAGAGGTTGGTGGGTAGAAAGGGAATTGTGAGAATAAATTTGCTAGTAGCAACAACAACAACAAAAAAAAAGAAAAAAATGGGTTAAATAAATATTCATATGTATATACACATAAGTACATATATAAACATATATGTACATGTATTTTAGATAAGTGAAACATAAAGATAAAGTATTAGAGGTAGAGACATAGACAAAGACACAAGAAAGTACTGACAGAGACAAAGAGGACACAGAGTGAAAATAAAAAGAAAGAGAGAGATGGGCAGAAAGCGTAAAAGATGAACAAGAAAAGAAGAAGGTGAAGATATACAGACAGAAGAGAGGCTCTAAAAGAAATTAGAGTGGCTGGAATTTGGAAAGGCAGAGTTGCAGAAAGAAGACAATGAATGAGACAGAAAAAGTCAGGAGTGCAACAGTGGGAGCTAGAAAGAGAGAGACAGAGAGAGAGAAAGAGACAGAAAGAGAGAGAGAGAGAGAGAGATACTGGTAGAGAGAGATACTGATAGACAAAAGGATAGGGATAAAGTTAAAGACAGATATGTGAGGGAGATTTTTAAAAATGAACAAGACAGAACAGACATAAAGAACACAAAAGGCGGGTAGAACAGCTAACAGAGAGACTGCAGTGACAGAGAAGGAAAGAACCCCAGACCAAAACAAAAAGAGCAACGGGAGAAAGCTGCAGTAAAAGAAAGTAAGTACTGACATCACAGCTTTAACACTTCTCAATAAAAAAGACACCCCTCACTGCTGAGAGTGATCAAACTAAACCTGTCCCAATGGGTTTATTGTAAAACATGAAATGTATACTAGCAGATTTGACAGATTTAAATACAGCAACTATTAGTAAGCTAGCACACACCTAGGAAGTTTTGTGTTCGAATCCTATTCGACTTCCAGATTGACCACTCTAACATTCGTACCAGCTAATATCCTGCAAAGTAAAGGTGTGACATCTACTAATAAATATACCTTCTATATGTCTATAATTAGGCCACTGGGGTGAGTTCACTTTATTACATCCACATTTACCTCAAATAAAGTGTTATTGAAAAATAAAACTGAGCATGACCAAAATATGCTGCCACAAGCAAAGGTATAAAATAGCAACATGTATTTGAATTAATAAAATATAAACAAAAAATCCATTACAAAATTATTAGTTTCCAGCTTCAATCTCTGAGATAAAAAAAAAATATTTAAGCCGGCAACTTTGTCATTAAATATTCTATAATGAAAAAAAATTTAGAGTTTAGTCAAAAATGGATATAATTATATGACAAAGGAACTGTTTTTCTACTCAATCCAACAGTACATGAAACCTGTTACACTACTTTGTGTTGTTAAAGCTTTTCTGCTACCTGACACTGTAAAGTCACAGTTACTCTGCTACCTGACATGGTGTAGTTATAGTTATCCTGCTACCTGACACTGTAAAGTCACAGTTACTCTGCTACCTGACATGGTGTTGTTAAAGCTTTTCTGCTACCTGACACTGTAATGTCTCAGTTACTCTGCTACCTGACATGGTGTAGTTATAGTTATCCTGCTACCTGACACTGTAAAGTCACAGTTACTCTGCTACCTGACATGGTGTAGTTATAGTTATCCTGCTACCTGACACTGTAAAGTCACAGTTACTCTGCTACCTGACATGGTGTAGTTACAGTTATCCTGCTACCTGGAACTGTGATGTTACAATTACCTGATATAAGGCTGTCTTCTGAAGTGCCACAGTCAGACTATTATCCATTTTACAATGCTGTTGCTACATCTATTCTATTTTGCTATCTTGCACTGCTGTTGCAACAGCTACTAAGCGACTCTATAGTAAGTAAAGGACTCCTAGATTTGAGGCTGGGTCAAACTGGGAACCAAGGTCATTTCTGAAAACAGTCTGGGCTCCTGTACAATACACTGCCCTAATTACTTAACCATTTGACATCGCTGCTACAGTTATTATACTACCTGAAAAAAAACACGTCATTAGCCAATCTTTTAGCACACTAAACGTCCACATCACTACCATGTGCCTAGCACTTTTATCTTTTCATTGAAATAGGTATTTGTTAACAAATTTCTTTAAAAGAAATACAATTAATATCTGCACACACAAAACATGCACTAAAAACACTAAAGAGAAACAAATGAAGAAAAAAAACGCACACTACAGTCTTATATTAGATTCTGGTTTCCCTGTGTGGGGTTTTGTAGACCTGTGAAAACACACACACACACACACCCACAAAATGATGACTGGTATGTATATGTGTATATGTACGCACGCACACACACACACATATATACATACATACACACACATACACACATATTATACACACACACACACACACATATATATATAAAGCCTATCTATTCCCCTTGAATTTGGTTGTGCTGTACATTACTAATTCTTAGGTGTAATCTATAGTCACGGTAAAATATACAGGTGCTAATTTCTCCAGTCCAAGGAATAAATCCAATACAATTATAAAAATTACATACAAAATTCGTTAAGGTGTATCTACCTGTGAAAACACACACACACACACACACACACACTAATGACTATTAGTGAAAACACACAGTCTAACTAGAGAAAAAAAAAAACAATCACACCAATATGACACTAAAAAAACTGTGAAACAAATAAATTGCTGTATTAAACTTGACATTCTTGATTCATAATTACTGATATAAATCTTGGATAGTCATTTGATACTGGGCAACGAGTAAGCAAAATTAAAGACCCATTCATTACTGTAACAAGTTACAACAGATTAATTTACTGCTAAACAAAAACCAAGAAGTAACGCATTGTCATTTTTTTCTTCTTTCAATTGGTTAACAGGAACGCCCAGATGACCCCCGCCCCCCCCCTCCCCCCCAAATAAAAACTACCAGATGCAAACAAAACAACTGTCAATTATTTAAATAAACTTTAAGATAGATCATCTTTTGTGCAATTCAACAATTTTATTACAAAATAACAAAGATTTTTAAAGCTTTAATTATGACAAAACTATGTTCCTTTCAGTAGCTGTGTGGTTCTTGTTTTTTTTTTTTATAGCAAAGTGCCACTGGATAAAAGCATTTTCTTTTTTTTTTAACAGTATACATAATATCTAGTTTTTGTATGGTATTTTGTACATTGCAATGGAATTACATGTTGGTGGTCAGTAAGGGGTATTAGTGACTAAGCTGTCAGAGTCAAATACTAACCGGTTTCTTTGTCGGTTGTCCGAATGTGAGAGAACTTTCAGCTCACCATCTTTCTGGAATCTGCCATAATCTTTCAGGGATGTGTTCGCAGGCTGTCAGAAAAACATAAAGTCATGTCTGAGTTTTTAACCAGACTGATATGTTTTTTTGTTTAATGTTTTCTACTTGTTCGTTCTTCTCCTCTTGCCTCTTCATACCTCAACAATGTCTCTTCCAGTTCTTCTTTCTCCTCCTCCTGCAGCCTTTCCTTCTTTCTTTTCCTCTTTCTTTCACTTCCTTTTCATCTTTTTTCTTCTACTTTCTGCCTCGCTCCCATCTGTGTTGATTTTCTTCTTTCCACTTGCTGCTGCTTCCTGTTGCCATCTCCTCCTCCTGTTCTTCCTCCTCTTCCTGCTATTGTTTTTTCTTCTACCTTCTTGTTCTTTCTATTTTTGACTTTCTTCCTCTTGATGCCTCTTGTTCCTCCTCCTCCTTCAACTTGATGCTACCACCTCTACTATTTCTTCTTCTTCATCCTTCTCATATAAGTGGAAAACACAACATCTAAGCAGAATAGGTTATTAATTATTATTCTTCTTAGTGCTCACACCAGCTGTGAACCCCAGCGGAAATTTCTGGTTAATCATCGACTTCTGAACTTTAGTTCTCCTAAACTGGAGCCCTGTATCCCACAGGGGAAATTTACCTTTCTTGATGGTGGGAAACAGCTTTCAAGTATGAAGGTCACAAGTAGCTGCTACTCTTTATTAACAGGACTAAGAACAAAAAGCGTCTTACCATTCTGAGGTCATTGATGCTGAGAAAAAAATAGAAAACAAAACATTAATATATCATTAAAACCTATCAATGTATATATAAAGTTAGTCTCATATCTGTTAAGGACGTTGCAGAACTAACCCCAGCATTCTGTTTGGTTTTACTTGGCAATTTTATGACCAGTATTTTGCCATTGCTATCTAAACAGTCAGCACTCTATACTGTCAAAATCGACACAAAGCAGTGTGTTGCCAAACCACCCTCAGCTGGAATTGAGCAAGGTACTTCAGAATTATGAAGTGTGTTCACAATGCCCAAGCCACAGACACCAATGATGTGGATTTATAAATTTAAAACATATTGGTAATCCAAAACAAATACTCCAGCTGGAAGTAATCCATAACAAATACTGCAGCTGGAAGTAATTCATAACAAATACTGCAGCTGGAAGTAATCCATAACAAATATTGCAGCTGGAAGTAATTCATAACAAATATTGCAGCTGGAAGTAATCTATAACAAATATTGCAGCTGGAAGTAATCCAAAACAAATACTGCAGCTGGAAGTAGTCCATAACAAATACTCCAGCTGGAAGTAATCCATAACAAATATTGCAGCTGGAAGTAATCCATAACAAATACTGCAGCTGGAAGTAATCCATAACAAATACTGCAGCTGGAAGTAATCCATAACAAATACTGCAGCTGGAAGTAATCCATAACAAATACTCCAGCTGGAAGTAGTCCATAACAAATACTGCAGCTGGAAGTAATCCATAACAAATACTGCAGCTGGAAGTAATCCATAACAAATACTGCAGCTGGAAGTAATCCATAACAAATACTGCAGCTGGAAGTAGTCCATAACAAAAACTGCAGCTGGAAGTAGTTCATAACAAATACTGCAGCTGGAAGTAATCTAACAAATATTGCAGCTGGAAGTAATCAATAACAAATACAGCAGCTAAAAGTAATCTATAACAAATACTGCAGCTGGATGTAATCCATAACAAATACTGCAGCTGGTAGTAATCTATAACAAATACTGCAGTTGGAAGTAATCTACAACAAATATTGCAGCTGAAAGTAATCAATAACAAATACAGCAGCTAAAAGTAATCTATAACAAATACTGCAGCTGGAAGTAATCCATAACAAATACTGCAGCTGGATGTAATCCATAACAAATAATGTAGCTGGAAGTAATCCATAACTAACACTATTACAGGAATTTCGAAATGTTAAGTCCTCAAAGAGGTAAATATGCTTCCCCATCCTCCAGTTCTACTCAACTTTTTTAATTTGTCCCCCCCCCCCCCCCCTTTTTTTCCACTCTTCTTTTCCTCAACCTCCTTGTTCTGTGAATGGGTGTGTATGCATGACTGTAAGTATGTGTGCTTAATGTATAAATGTGTGTGTTTTGTGTTTGTAGGTGTATAAATGTGTATGTATGAGTGAGTCTGTGTGTATGTATGTATTAGTGTGTATGTATGTCAGTATGTATCTCTGTATGTCTCATGTATGCATGGATGAGTCGTCGTACGTATGTGTGTGTGTATATATAGGTGTGTGTGTATGTATGTATGTACGTACGTACGTACGTACGTACGTACGTACAGGTACTGCATCCACAAATGCTGCAAGTGGTGTTCGCTTGCAAACAATAGCGTATCATCAGTATACCTAACAATGATGTTATTTATTTCTATGCGATTCACCTTATATTTAAATTTCCACCAATATTTCACTATACAGGAAAACAAAGCCTAGAGATGGCACACATCTGTCACTTATTTTTTTTTGGTTAATGTAAAGATCCCTTAATACGCCAGTGGCACCTCAGGCTTTTAAGACTGGACTCATTATTATAGACCAATTGGCCCTGGACAGGTGATGTGGTCAACACCCGACTGATTTTACTTCCCAGGACTCATTTGAGACCAGATCGACCTAGGAGCCAAAGTCATGTTTTGAACACAATCTGGCTCCATGCAGATTTGAACCCATGATCTTTGGATATGCAGGTGAGCATTTTGTCCCTACACCATGGTCACTCCCATTCACCTCACTACTTCCTTGGCTATTCTAATGAAAGCATGTTGTTTCCAGTATATGTTCTCTACGTGTATAAGGTCTTTCTCATCACTATCTTTATCGCTTACACTTTTAGTCATAAACTAAGCCAAAAAGAAACTAGTACCTGTTTTGAATCTCGTCTATGACCTGCAAACTTTCATAGTCTCTCTTCACCTCATTCACATAGAGGGACAAGTCCTGCAAAGAAAAGATAACCGCTGATGAAGATATGGCTAAATGTGAGTGACTGCCCCTTTAAAATTGAGAATTGAGCTCTTAAAAAGTTGTGGGGATTTTTCTACGGTTTCTCTATGATTTCCTATCAGTTGAATCTAAGGTTCCCTATGTGGGTTCCAGGGCCCCATTGTGAGAGGAAACAAAAACATACCTGCTGCCTAACAAAAGACTGTTATAAAAGTCACTCACTGGGAGCTTCCTTCAAAGTCTTAATGTTTCTGCCCGAGAGGCAAGAAGCAAACAGTCTGCATACCAACAAGACAGATTTTGTAATCTAATGTGCACACAACACTCAGATTCTGGGTCCAGAAGTTGATGAACAACCAGAACTTTCTGTCATAATTTACAATTGGTAAACACGCAGAAGAAGAAGAATTTAGAGTTATTTCTTCTTGCAATTTTGTTTACGAAACTATCTTAAAATAAACATAAACAGTTAGAAAGAATACACATAAAATATCAAACCAGGAGAAAAAAAACAAAAATGTCCAATCATGTTACTCCCCATGACCACTTTCTTACCATTTAACTCTTTCGGTTAGAAGGTATCATTGAATTATAATTAATTTATCTGTCCCCTGGGTTTGAATGAGCTAAAATTCAATCAAAAATATCTTTCATATGTCTTGAAGCCTGCTGGGTGTATTGTGTTTGCCCATATACTAATAGACTAATTGGTACTCGAAGAGCGATGTCGTTAAAATGACACCAGCTACACTTACTTTACCCTTTCACCATAAAAACCGCTTAGGAAACAATTCCCTAGAACCTATAAAATTCTCCCACCCCCAGTTTTTATTTTTAAAATTCCCAATTTTCAGAGGTCACTAATCTAACAAAAATGTTTTTTTTTTTTCAAAATCTACAAAGGGCAGTAATAACGACTGGAGTGAGGACTTAACTGGATGATATTCCCTAAAGCAAGCCTGATCACTTCCCATGAATATAAGACTTCTTCACTGACCGACAACCTAGAGTGTTGTTTGATTAAAATAAATACATTATGTAAACTCCATAATACTCTCTAAGAACGCTCAGGTAACATACATACAGATGGGTCTGTAGTAAAAGGAGAGATAAGAAAAGTGGGTGGGCTTTTATCGCAAATGTGAATGGATACTGTCTGAAAACAGAGAGCCTCACGTATAACATCACAACATCCAGTATGAGAATGGAGGTGGAGGCAGCAACAGCAGCTTTCTCATGGCTTGAGAGCAGCACTGTCTAACAGGCTGTAATTGTAACGGACTCACAGAGAATTCTTCAGGGGAAAAATAAACAGAAACTAATGTCCTAGGCGTACAGTAGCCTGATAATGCTTGTATTAGAAGCTCATCATGGATTTTCTGTCCAGGAGATTCGGGTGTGCGGGGCAAAGAGCATTCTGATATATTGGCTGTTCCCGCTGTTCTGAGTGGTGTGTATAGAGAACGGCGTAAAGGTTCTCATGGATTAAATGGACAGTGCAACAGAATAGACAGAGAATCTGGCTATCCTCCGAATAACGGGTACAAAAGATGGTGGCCGCAAAAACATCCTAACAGAGCTTCAGTCACGTGTCAATTGCGCACTTCGGGCGACTTAATTTGCGGTTTTCTGGCGACTATCGCCACCGCTATGAGTCCCCAGCACCGCTCACTCGGCGTGGATTGAGGCTAAACTAGATGGCTAGGACTCACGAGCAGCATCTTCCACATCTCCTGCAGCTTTGCTCGTGAGTCCTAGCCATCTAGTTTAGCCCCAATCCACGCCGCGTGAGCGGTGCTGGGGACTCTTGGCGATGGCGGTAGTCGCCGGAAAACCGCAAATTAAGTCGCCGGAAGTGTGCAATTGACACGTGACTGAGGCCCTCTTTTTGGCCACGATCTTCTGTGCCCGTTATTCGGAGGATAGCCGAGAATCCATATACTGAAAGACTTAATTCAATGGTCAGGGGTAAGAAAAAAGTTCTAAAAGGTATTCAACATTGAGAGGAAAACAAAGGTTGCAACTGGTACTATTAGCAGGTCGACTCTAAGTTGGCTACTGAAGAAGGAGCCAGGGAACATGTAGTAATGACTCAGGTGCAATGATGGTCAATTCTTGATTCATTCTTTCCCTAATAAAGTGCTGAACAAGCACAGCATACCTGCATAGCTTCCAAGGCCTGCTCTAAACCATCTCTTTCACTGCTGGACTTGTCTGTGTTTTTTATCAACTCCTAAAGGAACAGAGAAGGGAAGAGTTAAAATGAATTGTAATAATAACAATTTTAATTAACTCTTTCAATACCTGGCAACTGAACATGCGTTTATTGACTGCAAAATAGTAATCCACTTGTTGCTTTAACAATTCTTAATTAATTCTCTTTCAGTAATAATACCATGGCAACCCACTGAACATTCTTAATGCATTCTCTTAGGTTCTTCAGTAATAATGATTCATTGCAACCCACTTGTTGCTTTAACACACTTCTTAATGCATTCTCTTAGGTTCTTCAGTAATGGCACCCACTCCTTAAACACACATCTCCAATCATTCTCTTACTTCTTCAGTAATAATGATTCATTGCAACCCACTTGTTGCTTTAACACACTTCTTAACGCATTCCAATCCACTTGTTGCTTTAACACACTTCTTAATGCATTCTCTTAGGTTCTTCAGTAATAATGATGATTGCCCCACTTCCAACCACAATGCATTCTTTAGCTTCAGTAATAATGATCCATTCCCCAATCTATCCCCCGTAGTTTCATTAGTTGAACTTCTTTAGACTCTAATGTACACAAACTTTGGGATAGGTAGTGTTACAGTGCCAGCCCTCTGGGACTGAAAGAGTGAAGTTTTCAGTTTTTGAAATTCTCAACAAAATAAGGAACTTAAAATAACATTATAAAAATACATACCCGTAACAGGAGATGGTACTTGAGCACTCTCTGCATGGGAACATGTAGGAGATCTCGCAACCTAAACTTGCCTTCATTAGCCCTCCGTTCACATTCCTGCAGATAACGATGAGGTCAATCAATTCTTTCAGTAAATGAATGATGTTTAAGTAAAGTACAAAGTAAAGGTCTCTCTTCCATGCCTTTGGGTGTATTGGGCGAGGGCTAGACCTGTCTTTTATAGACCAATCAGCACGCAGTGGGTGATGAGGTCAACATCACACCATCACCTTTATCTGGCTAGGCTGACCTGGGAGCCAAGGTCATTTCTGAAAGAAAGTCCGGCTCAGTCAGGGTCTGAACCCATGAACTTCAGAGCCTCATGCGAGCATCTAGCCGATAAACCAATGATGTTTAAGCAAGTCAAAAACCCAGTATGTGGATCCAGCTTACCAAAATAAGGTGTTGGAGTCGGAGGCAACCAGCCAGGAGGAGCACAATAAAAAATCAGGATGCCACGCGCAAAGGCTACAGTTCATACTAGAGACAGAATTGCTGATATAGATAATATATTTCAAGTGAAAGAAAGGAAGAAGAAGAAGAAACACCCAACAAAAATTATTTCACCTCTGATTTATCAATGCTGAGTTCAGTTCACTCATAAAACTCACATCGCAGCACTCTGGACTTTCCCATATCCTTCCCCATCTTTAGCAGCCAGCAAAGAGTTCCAATGTCAATGGTACCAATAGCAGTTTTTATAATATGTCCATCTTGTCTTTCTTCTGAGAGTAGAGTGTCGGCCAGATTTTCTGGCCACTCCCAGCTGAACCATTTTCTCCAAATTATAATGATCTATTTGCGCTTCCACATTGCTCATGTACATCCAAACAGCCTTGACCATGTCAAGCTTGTCCTGCAACAATTCCTCACCCAGTGGTGCAACAATTCATCACCCAGTGGTGCAACAATTCATCACCCAGTGGTGCAACAATTCCATCACCCAGTGGTGCAACAATTCATCACCCAGTGGTGCAACACTAGGCAATCTGTCGACCTGTTCTTTTCCCAACACACACTGTGTGCCTTGGAGATCAGATTCAAAGGTTGCTAACTACCAGGAACCTTTGAAGCAATGCACTAACTTTACTTTACCCACTGCTATACTTTTTTTAGTGCTTGGGTGAGAAATCTATTTCTTCAAGACCTATAGATATCCAATCCTGATGTGCAGAAGTGAATTACATACAAACAGCCGGCTGATTAGTGATAAATTATGGGGGAGTTGCAGACTTTGTTTTACAGACAAATGATGAGAAAGAATATCGGGGACATATTTAAAAAAAAGTAATGAAGATGTCTTTAATGGAATTAACTCATTACCCACAGTAGACAATCTAGTTTTTTGTTATAATCATGCGTAGTTACCAGATGATCTGGCCGATGCTCAATACTTAAAGGAGGAGAGATGTGGACATACAATGAGACTGTTACTGGTGCCATTGTAATTGGAACCTGGTGCCTACTGCTGAAGATGAGAACAGAGCACTTACAGAAATGTCCTAAGTACTGTGATCTCAATTCATAACTCAGTCACGAGAAAACAATGGTCAAGTTAAGAAAAAGATATGCAGTGCACAGAGAAGAAATTGGCCAGTTTGATATCATGGCCTGGAAAATCAGTTGTGCCAGAAAGAAATGAAACTACATTAGGCAGAAGTCTCTGTAAAGACATAACTAACCAACACCATACAACATGGAGTATACAGATAAAATATACTATTGCTGTGCACTCTATAGTGTGCAAAAACACTTTCCTGTCATACAATTCACACATGGAATACGCACACTTTAGCAGCTAAAGCAATTTCCTCTCTTGCAATTTTATCAGGGAAACTGCACTCTTCAGTTGCCAAAAACATCATTTTCTGTCATGCATTACAATTCATCTGTCCCCTACTGCAACAAGACAAGGTGTTGGTGAAGGAGACAAAGGAGCAGTAGCAGAAACAGTGGCATAAGCAGAAGAACAACAACAAGAGGAAAATCAGAAAGGATAAGGAAGAAAGCAGGAGGAGGAATATGACATTTCTTAACCACAGACAATTACCTGAATTTTCAACCTCAGCAGCTCATTCTCACAGATTTTATCAATTTTTTCCTGGGCTCGTGGAAGGTTGGAGCAAAAATCCCCATAGACAAGCAGTTTGGGTTTGAATTGTATGAAGACGTCTGCTAGGCGGGGGTGACCTTGACTGGCTGAGCGACTCAGCTTGTCATTCAGCTCCTTGTGAACTTCATAAAGTTGCTGAAGGAAGGAGGAGGAGAAGAACAGGCTGTTAGGCTTACATCCGCCCACATTACTTTATATCAGTGGCTCCTCAACATTTTACCTAATCCTGGTTGATTTGAGTCAAGAACTGACATCAAGGCACTCGGGGCATTCCCATGAGTGCTGCGTCCTCATCTTCAGCAGCCAGCGCAGAGTTCCAATACTGATGGTACCAGTCACAATCTGGTTATATGTCTGTCTTGCCTTTCCTCTGAGTGTAGTAAGTCTTCCCAGGTCTACATGGAATTTCTGTGCCTTTTAAAAAAGCAATGTCTAAAACCTGGCAGTTATGTCCCTCTCTTCTCCTCGTACTTCACATTTTCCATTTAACATTTAAAGCAAAAGATCTTTTTCTACACCTTAAGGCGTACTGGGCATTTAGGGCTATACCTATATTTTATAGAACAATCGGCACTCGGTGGGTGATGCTTTCAACATTAAGCTGACCGCCTTTATTTCCCAGAACTTTACCTGGTACTTGTTTTAGGCTGGGTCGACCTGAGAGCCAAGGTCGTTTCTGAATAAAAATCCGGCTCCATCAGGATCAGAACCCTCAAGCTTTGGATCCGCAGGCAAGTGTCCAGCCGCTACACCAGGGTGGCTCCCCACAATGTGTGTGTGTGGTGAAAAGGTAAAGGGCCTTCCTGTGCCACTGGCACATTAGACTTTTGTTGCTGGACCAATAATTTTTATAAACCAGGATCTCCATGAGTTAGGCGGTCAATCATGACTCCTTTTACTTCTGAGGATAGTTCCCAGTACCCAGTTTAGACTGAGGAAAACTTGGAATCAAAAGCAAGTATACAATTTCGTCTGCTATGAATTCCAACTTATGGCTTTTGGGCCAGCAAGCAATCATCTAACTGGTGGGTTTTTTTAAATTTCCAGGACTATCTGTGGGGGTTCTGGGGTCACAATGTGTGTGGGGGTTGGGGAGGGGTGAATAGACCCACTGCCCCCTGTATTTAAAAAAAAAAAAAAAGGTTTTACTTATCAAGGGTGATTTCCTTTGAAGGAGTGCATCTGCCTGAGAGGCGAGTCTGCATACAAATAAGCCAGATCTGTAAAAACTGATGTCCGCATAAAACTCATTTTCTGGAACAGGACTAGTCCAAAAGTTAGGAACAACAGAACTTTCCATCAGAGTGAATGCTAAGAAAAAGAATTACCACAGACTTAAACATCCAACCGGTTTTTTTTCTGGAGTACATGTGTGTTTGATTGGGTTTACTAGAGTTGTGAGAGGGCATTGGATGGAGTGGGGAAAGAAGCCAAGATAGTTTGAGAACCTCTGCCCTAAAAAAGACACAAAAGCTAGAGCTCATTCTCACCTCAATGTGTGCAAATACTAAATCTCTGTCCGCTGCCTGTAACACATTATGTAAGGGCTTGATGAAATGCTGCAAACAGAAAACAAAACACCAATCAGCATCATGCAAATATACACTCTTTGTCCACCTACTTACTACTTTGCCACGCAACCCCTTGTATGTGTGTGCGGTGTATAGGCTGGTGTGGGGAGGCTGTGTGTGCTGGTATGTTCGGGTGTGGGGAAGGAAGGGGGGGGGGGCCCTGGCTGCTAGGCATTTATGTGGACTGGTGTGTGTGGGAGGGAACTGGTGGGTATGTGTGGTGAGTGTCACGTGTGTGTGGGTGTGTGTGTACGCTCTATCTCTCTCTCACCTATGATAATGATGTTTATGATGGTAGCTTTGACAATGATGATATTGATACCTATGACAAAGATTATATTTATGATAATGAATGTGATAATGACACTGTTATGATGAATATATCTATGATGATGACAATGTTGTAAACTGAAGGCAGATTATAATTATAAAATGATAGTTTCAAAAGGTGAAGATTTTATAAACGAGAAAGTCTGATGATGATGAAGATCATGACACAATCTTGTTTTTTTGCCATTAAAAAAAAAATTATATTCCAGAGACACACTCACATCAACTATCATCTTCAGTGCATTTTTGTAGTTGCTCTCTGTGTCCAGGAGCTCTTTGATACAATGGTCACGTTTGGTCAGGGCCTGCTCTGTAGCCTGTGGGGATTGAAAGATATTGTTCAGGGACAAATCAAAGAGGTAATCAGACATCTGTATTACTAACAAGTTATATATCAAGGCAGACACAGAGAAAGCATCAAATTTAAATCTTAACTTTGTAATATAAATTCAGAAATACTGTGGCACTGTCATGTAAGCTGTGGCACTGTCATGTAAGCTGTGGCACTGTCATTTAAGCTGTGACACTGTCATGTAAGATGCGGCAATGTCATGTAAGCTGTGGCACTGTCATGTAAGCTGTGACACTGTCATGTAAGCTGTGGCACTGACATGTAAGCTGTGGCACTGTCATGTAAGCTGATAGTATCTTCTTCCTTATCTTAAGCATTTGTCCTTAGAAGGGTGTTCGACATGATGTGTTGTGGTTTACAGCTAGGCTATACGTATGCCTTTCGAGCAACTCATTTAACTTGAACAAAATCTTGATTAGTCACTTTTTACGACATGCTAGTTAAAGAGAAGTAAGTCTATTCATTCCCCCCCCCCCCCCCCCCCCCCCGCCTAAAATGGGAACCTGGCGCCCACCTGGGGAGACTGACAGTATTACTGCTAAGAATGTGAAGTGTGTCTTGCACAGAGCTATCATAGTGCAGCTGGATCAAGCTGCTTCAACAGATACACGTATCACAGAGAAGAGTCTAAAGTCAAAGCAATATTACGGTAAAACTAATGAGGAAAAATCTTCACCACTGCCAGCCTCAAGCCTAGATGAGAAAGGAGGAGGGTTGGGCATGGGTTCAGCTCTCCCAGCCAGTAATAGATATCTTGCTATAGAAATGTACAGGAAAGCAGCACTAAATACATGGAATGAAAATTAAATGCTTTTGAAAAACAATCTCTGACGAAAATGTTGATCACAAAAGAGGGGGTGACAAAATAAGAGAAATGTCTGGGCCACCACCGGTAACAACAGTTAAAAGACAAAAGAGATAGTGCTTTATTGGACCCATCCTGAGAAGAAATGAGTAGAGAACCACTAAACAGGCACTAAAATGGGAAATAAAGGCACTGAGGAAGCAAGGATGCCTAAAAAAAGAAACCCTAAAATAAATGCTGGCGAGAGAGGCCAAAGCTGCTGGACTGGATCCCATCAATGATACTGAACTGACTGCACAGGATAAAATGGAATGGAGAAGCACACTGCGAGCCTTATGGGATATATAATGGCACAACCGGGCAATGATGATGATGAATGTAGAATAGTACTGCTGATCACAATATTTTAGGTTACTCAGACCATGACTGACTGAATGGTTTTAACAACCATAACTATCGCATATGGGAACTATCCATCATAAAAGAGCATTCATATACAGCTAAGGGAGACTGAGTGCTTACTTGTATGTTCTGAGAGCTATAACATTATTTTAGTTAACTCGTAAACTGCCGCATCAGAAAAAGCCATTATACTGCCCCATGCAGATATTGTTTTAACTGTGCCACTCTTTATGATTTCATGCACAAGGATTTATGGATTTTGTAATACGTATATTTCTCACCAGTCCTTAAAGAAGAAAACGGAAGCTGTTGAGTTGAAATATTATGGAAAGATTCTCAGAATACCACGGACAAAGAAAACAAAGAAATAGTGACATTTTTACAGATCTCAACATCAAGTAAGATTGACTAGAAAACAGAAACTCTCAGAAAGCTGAAATATTTTGACCATACCAAGCGCCACAGCGGATAGGAAAAATAATAGCAGAAGGTATGATACCAAGAAGGATGGGCAGGGGTCAACCAACACGAACATGGACACAGGATATAAGCAACTCTGTACTTATGAAAGTGCACAAGGCCTGAGAGCTGGTAGAGGAACAAGTTTCTTTCAGGCAGACCGTAATGAGAACGACATTGGTGAGTTATCTTTATCCATTCTTAGTCAGCTCGAGAAAAATGCATGGTAAGCAAAAGTGTTAGATTTGTTTCATTCTCTTGTGTGCCTAGTAATATAGGATGGATAAAATCAAAAACGTTCTGAAATTCATCAAGAGGCCCCCCCCCCCCCCTCCCCATGGTTTCCGGGGCCCCATTGTGGGGAAAACAAGAAAGCATGTCGTAGGAGTCGACTAATTGGGGAGCTTCCTTTGAAGTCGGAGTGCATCTGCCGGAGAGGCAAGGAACCAACAGTCTGTATTCAAGAGAATGAGATCTGTAAAACTGATGCACACGCAACACTCAGGTTCTGGAGCAGGACTGCAGTTCAGTAGTGGACGAGTAACCAGAACTTTCTGCCAGAGTTTACAGCTGGTAAACGCAAAGAAGAAGAAAAAAAAGAATCAAGAGGTCCATCAGGGCAGTCTTGCTACAGCAGTAGAGTCTTCTTCCGTTGACCAGCTGTAAACTCTGATGAAAAGTTATGCTTATCATCCACTTCTGTACTCTGGTCTTGTTCCAGAATCTCAGTTTTGTGTGCACACCCGTTTTACAGACCTGGCTTATTTGTTAGCAGACTGTGCTCCCTCGCCTCACAGGCAGATGCACTCAAGACTTCGAAAAAAACATCCCTAATTAGTTGCTTCTGACAAAATGCTTGTTAGGGGCAATGGCAAATTACTGAAGGTAAAATAGCCTAGAAAAATCATGAATAGCCAATAAATACTTGCGTTGGTTCTGCAATGTCCTGTATAGGATATGCAACTAACTCTTTTATTGGGGGGAAATAGGTCTAACAAACCCCCCCCCTTCCTTTTCAAGAACCCACATAGGAAAGAGCAACAGTTAAAATAACGGTTGCACACGCTCTCACTCACTCTCTCTTCACGAGCACAAGCATCCCCCCCCTCCCAAATACACACACATGCACACACCGACCATAAATTAAAACCAGGACAGCCCATCAACTTACCACCGAGACTTTCCTCTTTCCAAGAAGATCGTCATAAATTTTCTCCTCATCTTCCTGATAGACAGGGTCGTATATGTCCTCCTGGTATTCCAGGTCATTTTCTCTGAAACAGTCAAACAGAGCTGGTCAAACAGAGCTGGTCAAACAGAGCTGGTCAAACAGAGCTGGTCAAACAGAGCTGGTCAAACAGAGCTGGTCAAACAGAGCTGGTCAAACAGAGCTGGTCAAACAGAGCTGGTCAAAAGCACAGAAGGTGTTACTGGTCAACACAATTCACATTCCTGCACTCCAAGAGAGTCCACAAGTGCTCAGTGTTTATAAATATTGAAACCTGGCACTTGGAATGTTTACACACAGGGCACATAGGCATTATCATGATTTTGAGGCAAAATATTAACCTCTATCATATTCATATAGATGGCGTAATTTCAAACAGTAAAAGGTTTACAGGTAGTGATATTTCACAAAGGAAGAGGTCACACTTCATGAATGGAGATATTTAATACCAAAAGGCCATGCCTAATGGTCCATATTAACAATCTAGCACAGGTAGCTGCCCCCCCCCCCCCCCCCCCCCCCCCACCATTGTAACTAATTAAAGTCAGAAACTTGAGTTGCTGAAACAGATGGAATGTTACCCCACGAAGTACCAAATAAATTACCCTCACCAATTTAAACATAAGCTGTTCTGTATAAAAGCTATGCCAATATTTACAATTATTAATTTATTTTATTTATTATGAATTTCTTTGTTGCTTCTCATTCTCCATTCGCCGCTGTTTGCATCTTTGATGGGTCCAAAGATTTGTTGTAAGACTGTTTTTCGAAAACCAGTAATAAGGCTTCATCTCTTTTAGTTGTGCTCCATGTTTCAGAGCCATATTGCTCCATGTTTCAGAGCCATATAAAACGACTGGTCTTATCAACGTTTTATATATTTTGATCTTAGTGTTGCGAGACAGACACTTTGACTTTAGCAGATGTTGAAGGGAATTTATCAGTCAGTGCCTGCCTATATATCATATTATGGCAACCAACCCACAAAATACCTATAGTTTGAGTAATTCAAGTATACAGACATCTGGAACCTTGCCAGTGCTAAAGTTCATGCCCTATGCTGAAAGACTCCTTTGTGTTATTTACGGAAAGAGTCTACAGTGCCGACTGAAAAAACCTAAGGTGTGCAGTAAAAATCCTGTTGTCGATTTAAAATAGTTGAAGAAATGGACCGATTAGCAGGGCAAACTTTAAAATCCAACAACCACAAATGGCATGGGGTGTCGCTGGTCAACCCAGCCTAAAATGGATACCAGAATGGCTGTCCTGGGGAAGTAAAGATGGCCGGCGTAATGCTGACCACATTACCCACCTAGTGCCGATGGTCTGTAAAAATATGGGTGCTCTTACCATGAACCCGTTACGCCTAAAAGAGTGAAAAGGGATCTTTACTTTCATTACTTAACAATCACAAAAATTTAATATCTATAGTTTATTTGCTGCTGCTTCTTATTTTTCTGCACTCGCCCTTGGCATGGCTGTTGGCAATCTTTGTTGTGGTTTAAAGCTAGGCTGTGTTACCTGCCTGCATCTTTTAGCCTGATTCAACTTTAACAAATCTTCAGTTTCCTTGTACATGTGCTAGCTAAGAAGCACTAGATCTGTTATTTTTCCTCCCAAAAATGGGAGTTTGGAACCACACAGGAAATATACAACACCTGCAACCTTGCTGGTGCTACCAATCCAGTCCCAAATCATAAGCCAATCAAGTTAATAAAAAAAAATGAGATCCAATATGAGAGCGAGTCAAGTTCCAAAATAACAACCAATCAAAATCCAATACACCATCAAGTTTCAAACCAACAAATGAAGTTGCAAAGTAACAGCCAATCAAATTCCAACACAAGAACTAACCAATCAAATTCCAAAACATCAACCAGTTAGGTTCCAAAACAAAAACTATTCAGCTTCTATTAGTACCTAAACAGAAGGCAGAAGCTTTACTGTCAATGTCAACAACATTTCATGTGTTAATTCCTCATCCACAGGCACGTTTACTAAGTTCTACTAGGGAATAACATATGTATACAATCTGCAAAAGAACAGTGAATTCAGTCTAACACAGAGACAACATTTCTGTAGTGCAAAACAAATGTGATACCAACGTAAACCATCACATAGTCCATAAAATTGCAATTTCTCCTTCTCCTGCTTTCACCCTTCAAAGGGGCTTTGACATGCTGCATTGCGGTTTACAGCTCGGTTATATCTTTGCCTTTCAGCCCAGAACCTCCAATTTCAGTAAACCTTTAATTAGTTTTTTACCACATGCTTGTTAAGAAGTGTGATTCCGTGGCTTAGAAGTTAGTGAATGCGGTTAACAACTTCATGATCCTAGAGTGTTGTGGTTCGCTTCCCAGGATAGCTGGGGGAGGTGTCAGTTCTCTTAATTTTCAGACAATGGTACGAGAGTCATGCTGTGGAAGAGACAGGAGATCTCACCACTTAATATTCCCAAAGACAACAGTGGGCACACTGTAGCCAACCATCATTGTGGAGATGGCCCAGAATATTTTGTTGTTGTCATTAAGAAGCACTAGGTCTGTTCTCTTCACACTTATCTTCCCTCCCCATCCACATGGCTCCAGAACATACACAGGGAAATAGAGCAGTGAATTCATATAAACTGACAAGATTTATGCAGGGTAAAATAAATACAACACCACTGTAAGCAAAATTTTCACTTGCTGAAACAGCCAGTACATGTGTGCACTTTATTCCCCAGTACTGCAGCACACATATGCACTTTAATCTCCAGTAATGCAGCACATGTGTGCACTTTATTCTCCAGTAATGCAGCACATGTGTGCACTTTATTCTCCAGTACTGCAGCACACATGTGCACTTTATTCTCCATTAATGCAGCACATGTGTGTACTTTATTCTCCAGTAATGCAGCACATGTGTGCAGTTTATTTTCCATTAATGCAGCACATGTGTGCGATTTATTCTCCAGTAATGCAAAACATGTGTGCACTCTCTTCTTCAGTAATGCAAAGCAGATGTGCACTTTTCTCCATTAATGCAAAGCACATGTGCACTTTTCTCCATTAATGCAAAGCACAAGTGCACTTCTCTCCATTCATGCAAAGCACATGTGCACTTTTTCTCCAGTAATCGCAAAACATGTGTGCACTTTATTCTTCACTAATGAATATCTGTAAGACAGGTTGTATAGGTTTTATTGTTATTCTGTAAGTTTTTCATGGCGTTTTCTACTGGCTTCTGTGTCTCTAGAGTTGCGGTTCTCAAACAGGTCGCCAGAAGGCATGAAGATACTTAAAAGTTAAAACTCCTTGACCACTGTTAAAAAGAGTATTTTTTTGTCTACTCAGACATGTTTCATATTGCATAAATCATCATCATCAGTTCTCTTTATGCCTAGTGGCACATGAGGCTTCAGAGAGGACTTTCCATGCTTTCCTGTCCTGTGCAATCTTGCAGTTTTCCATGTCAAAGATGCCCCACTCAGGTCACCTTCCATCGTTCGTCTCCATGTTGTTTTTTGGCGCCCCTGTTTTCTCTTTCCCTCTGGTGTCCATGTGAGAGTTGTTTTGGCAAGTATATCAGAAGTCATTCTCATAACGTGGCCAAGCCATTTCCATCTTCTCTTGGTAATCATACTGTCTAAAGTTTCTTGGTTTGTGGCTTGAAGTAGTTTAGTGTTTGAGATTGTATCTGGCCAGAAAATTTTGATAATTCTACGTAGACATGTGTGGTGGAAGGTGGACAGCTTGTGTGCATCCTTTTTGGTCATTCTCCAGCATTCCGCTCCATAAAGAAGAACTGGCAAAATGATGCTCTTGTAGAGTCAAAGTTTCGTTCCTCTGCAGTAATTGTTGGATTTCCAGATTTGCCTCATCCTTCCAAAAGCAGCTCTAGGTTTGTTCAGACGTGACTGTATGTCTTCCTCTGTCCCTCCCAGTAGGGACACCACTCTGCCAAGATATGTGAAATGTTCTACATTTTTAAGTGATTGGTTACTTATGGTCACTGGTTGTTGGTTTGGACTGTTTGTCATGATCTTAGTTTTCTTTGTATTTATTCTCAGTCCCACCATTTCTGCTGTGCAGTTTAGTCTGTTACTTTTCTCTTTTAATATTGCATAAAACCCCCCAAAAAAGAAGCCAGCTTTAAAGCAGTCAACATAGAAAATCCAGAAAATGAAGAACTTTATTTTCCAGAGAAAGAATTAGATCCACACACAATGAGTGAGCTACTATTTGCAGATTATCGGTGCCTGTTCTACAACAAGAGGAGTAGACTGCAAGAACGTCTGAACAGGCCAAGTACAACATGCAGAAGAAATAACATGCAAATAAATACTACTTAAACTAAAGAATGCTGGTCAGCAGAATTCCTAGTCCGCTACATATGGGTTGAATAGTACCTATCTGGAGCCAGTTAAAGAATTTAAATATCTAGGAAATATATTCTCAGAGGACAGGAGAATAGATCGGGGAAAGAGAAACAAGATGCCAAAGAGCCAGTGCACTTGTATACCAACTGACACCGTTATTAAGACATCCAAACATAAGTATGAGCGCCAAGAAACAGGTTATAAACAGCATATTCAGATTAACAATGTGCTACCAGTGCCAGACTTTGACATTATCAAAGGCTAACTAACCTGCAAAATGAGATGCCTGAGTAAAGCCACTAACTCAACCATCGGAGACAAAGTTAAAAGTGATGTTATCAGACAGACTGTAGGAATAACAATATGCAGCAAATTCACTGAGAAACAGAAGATCGAATGGTTTGGTCATTTAGTAGCAATGCAGCCAGAACAACTACCAACACAGGCACTACACATGAAAAGACCTGAAGTGAGAGAAAGAGGCCACACTAGGCGAATATGGGGTGATGATATTAAAGGGCTTTTACATTGAATGATAATAGTTATTGCTGCCCATCAAGCAACTGTTGCTGCCCTGCCATCATCACACAAACTGTTTGCCCACACACAACTGCTGCCCAAACAACTGTTGCTGTTAACTGCCCATCAAACAACTGTTGTTACTGCCCATCAAACAACTGTTACTGCCCATCAAACAACTGTTACAACTGCCCCATCAAAACAACTGTTGCTGCCCATCACACAACTGTTGCTGCCCATCAAACAACTGTTGCTGCCCATCACACAACTGTTGCTGCCCATCACACAACTGTTGCTGCCCATCACACAACTGTTGCTGCCCATCACACAACTGTTGCTGCCCATCACACAACTGTTGCTGCCCATCACACAACAAACTGTTGCCCATCACACAACTGTTGCTGCCCATCACACAACTGCCCCATCACACAACTGTTGCTGCCCATCAAACAATCACACAACTGTTGCTGCCCATCAAACAACTGTTGCTGCCCATCAAACAACTGTTGCTGCCCATCAAACAACTGTTGCTGCCCATAAACAAAACAAACTGTTCGCTGCCCGTCAAGCAACTAATGCTGCCCATCAAGCAACTGTTGCTGCCCATCAAACAACTGTTGCTGCCCATCAAACAACTGTTGCTGCCCATCACACAACTGTTGCTGCCCATCACACAACTGTTGCTGCCCATCACACAACTGTTGCTGCCCATCAAACAACTGTTGCTGCCCATCAAACAACTGTTGCTGCCCATCAAACAACTGTTGCTGCCCATCAAACAACTGTTGCTGCCCATCAAACAACTGTTGCTGCCCATAAACAACTGTTGCTGCCCATCAAGCAACTGTTGCTGCCCGTCAAGCAACTAATGCTGCCCATCAAGTAACTGTTGCTGCCCATCACACAACTGTTGCTGCCCATCAAACAACTGTTGCTGCCCATCAAACAACTGTTGCTGCCCATCAAGCAACTGTTGCTGCCCGTCAAGCAACTGTTGCTGCCCGTCAAGCAACTAATGCTGCCCATCAAGTAACTGTTGCTGCCCATCACACAACTGTTGCTGCCCAACAAACAACTGTTGCTGCCCAACAAGCAATTAATGCTGTCCATCAAGTAACTGTTGCTGCCCAACAAACAACTGTTGCTGCCCATTAAGCAACTGTTGCTGCCCATCAAGTAACTGTTGCTGCCCACAATGTTTAATGGCAGAAGAAGAAATTGGTGGTGATGATAGAAAGACAAAAGAATATCTTGCAATAACAGAAAAACAAACAAGACAGTTAAAAACTTTCAAACGATCAGAGAAATCTGACAGAGACAGTTTTTTTTTGCCTGGACTAATTAAGTTAGTCTGGCTGGTTGGTTAGGTTGCCAGTTTGCCAATAATCCTCAAGACACAACAGACAAGACCCATAAGCGATCGGATCCCATCACTGGATAACCCAGACATGTTATGAGGAATGAACTCAAGAACCTGGTAACGAATAGCATGACTGACAGGAAAAGAGCAGAGGGAAGGCAAAGAGATAAATACCAGATGGTATAGCCTAAGGATGAGGGTGAGAAAACAATGACATGGAGGTGAGAAAACAATGACAATCTGATCCTTCATTCTGGTGATCGTGGGAGATGGCAAAACATGACAGCCTATGATTATCGGCACAGCACATGCTGGTGATGATGATGTGGTCATAAGGGAAATCTGAAAAATGATGTTGGAGGACTAGTATTTTTTCACTAAAACTTACTATCTTGACTATGGACTGTGCTTAGTTAGCTGCTGACCTTTACAGGACAGTGCAGAACCACCTCAGCATTTTTTTTGGGGGTGGTTTTACTAGGCAATTCAGCAGTTTGCTACTGATTACTAAACAGTTGGTTCTCAATAGCACTGTGGAAACCAATGCAAGGCAGCCTCCTTCCAAATCGTGCACAGCAGAGAGATACCCCCAGAATTATAAAGCAAGATCGCAACACCCAAGCCACAAACACAATGTGATTGGGGATAATGAAATTTTGTAATATCAATATCAGAACCATGCAAAATCAAGACTGTCTGTATACAACATTCAGGGCAACAATCAGGAAGTTGCAAAGTCCAGCAGAACACAACCCTACAACTCTTAAATATAATCATGAATATGAAACCTGTACTGGATCATGGCAACGCACTTTCCTTCCTGCTTCCACATCCCCACCTATACCATGTTATTACTTATTACCTCCACCCCTATGCAAACCTGTCCAACAAGCCTACATTTTTTTGTATCCTCTTGTGTAAACAGCTTACATTATACTTCCTGGTTTTAGACCAGTTCCACGAACAACAAACACAATCTTCAACAGAAATGCCACATTCAACTCGTTCAGCACCAGACACTTGCCATGCGTTTACTGGTGTAAACAATTTCTTCATGTGGGTGCCGGGGCCCCATTTTGTTAAAAATAAAAAAAGAACAGGCCCACCGCATTCCTAACAGGCGTATCATAAATGGCGATTAATTAGGAGTCTGCTGAAAACAGATCTGTCGGGCCGAAGGGGTAGACATCACCGCTTAGTTATAAACCACAACAAAATGTGCTAACCATCCTTTTAACAGTGAGCGCATAAGAGAGCTGCAGCTGGCCAAACAGTTAAGAAAATTTGCCTCTCATGCGGGAGACCCAGTTTCGAATCCTCAGTAAGTTTGTGGATTTTTTATTATGTCAGGGGCAAAAACAAAATCCTAACCTGTACAGTCCGTGGCAACTGCACCGGCCTTGTAGCTTTAAATCATCGGGCTCAAAGACTGTCTTCTTTTTCTTCTTCTCTTCCACCTTGTACCTCATCGAAGTGTCGGGAGGAGATGTCATATTCGTTGGTGAGCTCTGTCAAGAGCACTATTAAGACTGATGTTCATTTCTGTAAGGCTGTTCTTAATGCCATCACTCCATCTTTTCCGAGGTCTTCCACTCGCTCTATACCCGTTGTAACGTTTTAATGTGGCTCACTGTGACGGATAGTACCAGGGCATTCTTGTTAGGTGTCCAAACCACTTCATTTGTTGTTCTTTGATGACCTGTAAGACTGGCTTTATTCCTAGCATTCATCTGATTTCATGATTTCGTATTGTCTTTCCTTGAAACTCCTGCAGCTCTTCTAAGGCATTTCATCTCTGTTGTCACAATTTTACGTTCATTGGAGGATGTAAGTGTCCACATACTGTAAATGTGGTAAATATGGGCAGTTTTTTTTTTTTTTTTGTAAAGGCATAAAATGGTGGTGAAAATACCCAACTTATTACCTGAACCCACTCAATCCCAAATAATTCACAAGATTTGAATTTACAGAATGATTCTTATGTGTTCACCTCTAAAAGGGTGGCTGGCATGTTGTGGTTCACAGCTAGCTGCCAACATTTGCACCTTTCAGGTCCCTTATATCGCAATTTCAGCAAGCCTCCAATTGGTTGCCTTTTATGACACGCTTGTCAGAGGGGTGGTGGAGCTGTTATTTGCCCCCCACAACTGAACACTGAAACCCACATGAGGTATTTAGCTCATGTAGCACCAAACAAAACAACTCGCAATGCATTTACTAGTGACAAAAATAGCCTGGTTTTCTTAAATTTTGTGCCGGAAAGTTCTGGTTGCTTGTCTACTTCTGGATACTGGTTTTATTCCAGAATTAAGTTCCGCATACAGATCCGTTTCACGGTTCACACTTTTTTGTATGCAGACCTCTCAGGCTGATTCTGAAGAAAGCCCCCCTCATTAGCTATCTATTACGGCAAGCCTACCTGGTTGGGAAGAGTGGGAGCCTTATCCCTTTCCCACCCCCCCCCCCCCCCCCAAAAAAAATCAGCAAATAAAATTCAGGAGGAAGATAGCTGGTCAGCCCACCTCATAAAAGGCTTTGAGACCCCAGTCTTCCCCTATACTGCTGGGCTAGGCAGAACAGGGCCCACCAAAGTAAAGGTGAGGCAGGCTTGAGCAAGAGAGGCTAAGAGACAGTTACGGTCTTGTAATGTGCATCCCTGCCCCATTAGGAGCCCATAAAAGGTGTAGCACATGAAGGGAGAAGAAAGGCTAACAGAAGTGAGCTGGCCAAAGCAGACACATAAAACTAGAGATATACTTACATTGCTAGATCCTGTAAATTCCCATATATGTCATCAATTTGTTCAGCCTCATCAGGCCTGGAATCAGGAGGAAAGCCACTGTGCACCAGATAAAAGCAAAATGTATGTGTTATTTATTTGAATGAGGCAGAAATGTTTTGTTGACATTTGATAATGTTCTAAACCTATATGCAATAGTGTGGTAGTAACTAGTATGCTTGATTTTTTTTTTGTGGCCTGGGGAAGGGGGGGTCATTTGAGCGAATCCCAAAGAAAGCATTTCTTTACTGAAATGGGCTTATACTTCTTCTTCTTCTTCTTCTTCGATCCTTCTGTCAGAAAACTTATATCAGGAGGCCGGTAGCCTTTATGAAAGCTATCGTGCAATCCATATCCTCTTGTGTACCATACAGTTTTGTTTTCATTGTGGTTGGAACAGGCCAGATTGCGTCTCTGTTGTCAGCATACAGTTGACAGTGTTGGAGCACATGCTCAGCATTTTCGGGTGCCACGCTGCAGGGACACGTCTCCGTATTTCCTACACCAAAAAATTTGAACATTTGTTGACGAAATCTGTTGTGCCCTGTCCTTAGTCTGAATAAAATAGACTGTCCCTCTCTAGAGAGGCGATGAAGTGAGTCTTGGGGAGAAAATCTGGTGTGGGTATCCAGCCACCTTTCTTGGATACTAGATTGTATTAGTGTTTTCATCTCTTGGTGGGTTAAGTCGCTATTTAATTGTACCATGTCACTGCCGCTTCTGGCTAATCTGTCCGCTATTTCATTGCCTTCCAAGCCACAGTGACCTGGAATCCATTGCAGTACAGATTGTTCTACTGAAGAGCCTAAGTAAATCAGCTGTTGCGTCAAGTCTACAAACTGAGTGTCTTTTGGGTTAACAATTGCTTGTAGAACTGACACAGCATCAGTCAGAAAGACCACTCTGCTATATTTGCTGTGCTGTTGTCCATTCAGGAAAGAACATGCCGCTAGAAGTGCTTCTGCCTCTGCTCTGTAATTGGAGGAATATGAACCTGTTGGTACAGCCTGGTTGATTTTTAAACCATTTGGGCATTAATGTAATTCCTCCTCCTCCGTCTCTTACTGCTCTCTTGGCTGAACCATCTGTATACACTCGAATCCAACTCTGGTGTGGGTAAAGTCTATTGATCTCTCCTTCTGTAGTTAATTTCATATCAGTGCTGCTCATTGATGATTTGGAGGAGACCCCTGTTACAGTGGTTCTGACTTTTGGTAGGCTATCCCTAAGCCAAGCGGGGTAGTCGTTGTAAGGTTTAAGTGGAACATTTGGTATTATGGGAAAGAGTTTAAGGACATGTACATGGGTTGTTCTTGAAAGTGGTGGTATTTGGAGAGCTGGGTGAGGATCTTTGTGTCTCTCCTATCTTCCAGATTATGGAGACCAGTAATTGTTTCCATATCTGATATGGGCGTGGAGCGCATTGCTCTTCTTCTTCTTCATATTCATCAGCAGTTAATTCCTGTGGAAAATTCTGGTTGACTGTCCACTTCTAGACTTTTGTCTTGTTCCAGAACTTGAGTTTTGCATGCACATCAGTTTTACAGATCTGGCCCATTTGTAGGTAGACTGTTGGTTCTTGACCTCTTGGACAGGTGCCCTCTAACTTCAAAGGCAACATCTCTAATTAGTCGACCAGTACAGCGTTAGGGGCGCAGTGGGTCTATTCTTTTCCCCAAAAAACTGGCCTGGAACCCACATGAGGTGGCTTTATTCATCAACCTGGCACAAAATGAGCCCCAAGGAATAATCTGGGAAGTAAAGACAGCCTGGAGGATACTGACTACATCATCTTTAAGTGCCTACTGCTCTATAAAAATATATATATATATGCCCGTCTCTCTAGCGTAGTTGGCTAAACCGGATTGCGCGGTGACCGGGTGACGAACTCCTTGTGGTCCGGGTTCACTCCTGGGGGTAGGCAGAAAAGCCACATTTTCTCCCAGATTTACGGTAAAAACAATGGAATCAAGGCCGAAAGGTTGCGATGTCCATAATACCGAGCCTAAGGGTTAACAACTCATGGCTTCTGGATACTAAAACAAAACAATATATACATATTTTATCCCTAAAAGCATTACATTGCCTCCTTTTTAAATCTAATTATTGTATACTCATTGCCTGTCTCCTCATCCAGTATTGTACATTCAATGTCTCCTGTGCAAGATGCTTCCACTGCAGTCAGAACTTGCAAACAGCAGGCTGCAACCTGATGTCATGGTAAAATGGTTTAACCCTATCACCCCCAGAAAGCTCAATCTAGTCACTTCCAGTTGTGACATGGCCATGTAAATGCTAACACATCACCATTTCTGCAGAGACCTGGTCTCAAAAAGTATGGCTAAATGCCAGTGGCTCTAATGTTTGCCTGTGCAGTGTTTAATAGGCCAGGATGTGAATATGGTGATTTAATATATTAATAATATGATACAAATAGCAACTGGTAGGTTTTCTGATGACCTCAGTGGTTTCTTTTTGTTAAAGCTAAAGTAATGTCAAATCTTGCAATAAGACTCAATGATAGGGGTCACAGGGTCACAGCATTAGTCACCAACATTAGTCATATATCTTTAAATTTAAAATGTAGACAAAACATTTTTTTTTTTTTCAAATTTATTAGTGACCAAACTGAGATGGTTGTTTTTTTTTATAATTTTTTTCCAGGAATTCATACGGGTTTATGACCAAATTTTGTTTAAGCATCTGGGGGGCAAGAGGTAACTATTTTTCTTCTTCTCTTCCTTGGGTTATCCAAGTGAAGTGATGGGAGAGATGTCAAAAATCTGTTTGCTCTGCCTAAGGCAAAGCTATTCAACTGGTGGCCAAATCTGGCCGCTAAAGCCTAGTAAGTGGCTTTATTTAGCCCTTATTTTTAAATACATAAATCAGAACCTGCTGATTACATTTAAACAATATAAATTAGAACCAGCTGATTGCATTTAAAAGACATAAATTAGAACCAGCTGATTACATTTAAACAATATAAATTAGAGCCAGCTGATTACATTTAGAAGACATATATTAGAAAAATCTGATAACATTTAAATTAGAACCAGCGATTACATATAAATTAGAACCAGCTGATTACATTTAAATTAAAACCAGCTGATTTCATTTAAATCATAACCGGCTGATTACATATAAATTAGAACCAGCTTATTACATATAAATCAGAACAAGCTGATTCATTTAAATTAGAACCAGCTGATTACATATAAATTAGAACCTACTGATTACAAATACATAAAAACCAGCTGAATATACATAAATTAGAACCAGCTGAATATACATAAATTAGAACCAACTGATAGCACATAAATTAGAACTGGCTGATTACATTTAAAATAGAACCAGCTGATTACATATAAATTAGAACCAGATGTTTATATTTAAATTAGAACCAGCTGATTACATACAAATCAGAACCAGCTGTTTGCATATACATTAGAACCAGCTGAATATACATAAATTATAACCAGCTGTTACATTTAAATAAAACAAATTAGAACCAAAACAACATCTACGGAACAAATCTACTATATATTATGCCCACATAATCACAGCACAAATCACAAGGATGGATGCTTATTATTCTAACGTTGTACAAGGATGCATATTGTTCCAATAACATTCTAATAACACATTACAAGGATGCATATTATTCCAAAAGCATTTCAATATCACAATTACAAAGATGCAAATTATTCCTACAACATTTCATAAATAACACAACTACAACGATGCAAATTATTCCAACAACATTTCAGTAGCGCAAATACAAGGATGCAAATTATTCCAACAACAATTCAAAAACACACAAAAATGCATTTTAGGCAAATAACATTTCAAACACTAGTTATTTTTAAAAAAACCATTTTTACGACTTTAACAAATAAAACAACTAACACTGTGAATGTCGTCGATTGTGCTGTTTCAGAATGCACAAAACAACAGCCAATATTCAAACACTGGAACATGTGGCAATGACACAATGCTCACACTCAGATTACACAAACATAAACATGTTAATGAAAAAATGCACACACATGGCGTAAGATGGCATAAGAAGTGTGATTAATTAAAACAGAATGGAAGATACATGATGAGTCATTTCATGCTTGCGACCACTGAGGATATTGCAGCACTTATCGCTCTGTATGGATGCTGTGGTGATAGCCCTGTCGCTCCGAGAAAACGCAAAATAAAATACAAGGTCCGACAATTAAGTAATGAGACTGATTTTATTATGACTAAGACAAAAAGGTCATCTATAAAGCAACGCATGGAATCTAAAGAGGCAACATTCATCTATGACCTGGCAACTTTTCATCGATAAGCAGACAACAAACAAGCTGCCATTTTGCTGACCCAGTCAGAGGTGCAGTGTTACAAAATCAGCACGGAGCAAAAAGCTAGCATTAAATTCTTTTTGAAACTCAGAAAAAGCGCGATTGAAACAGTTGAATTAATGCAACAAGTTTATGGGGATAAGTGTTCGTGCACAAATTTTCAGGTGGTATTCACGGTTAAAAAGTAGTGTGGAAATGATTATTAATGCACCTAGATTTGGACTAAAAATTTATGTTCGTATTGATGAACTCATTGCAAAATTTAGAGAACGCATACAAAAAGATCAGTTTTACTGTGAGGATGATGGCAGATGAATCTGGTGTTAATAGAGAGACCATTCAAAACATTTTAGTGCAAGATTTCGGCCCCCAAAAAAGTTTCTTGCCGGTTTATACATTGGTTGTCTGATGACCAAAAACATCAGCAGGTTGAGTACCCAAGAGAAATCATCAAAACAAGAATTTCTGGCCCAAAAACAAGTGTGTGTTCTCAGCCTTCTACCCTATTCCCCAGACTTGTCTCCCTGTGATTATTTTCTATTCCCAAAATTTAAGTTACAATTGAAAGGACGCTTCTTTAACATTACTGATGCATCCAAATGGCGTTAACATCGACTTTAAGGGTCATAACAACAGAAGAACTACAGAGGTCGTTCCAAAGTTTCGGTGTTAGATCATGCCACTTGCTGTATCAATGCACAAGGGTCTTAC